CACTGCCTTCCAGCCTGGGTGACAGAGTGAGACTCCAACTCAAAAAAAAAAAACAAAAAAAAACACGTTATTGAAATTAATTTCACCTATTGCTTGTTACTGTTTAAAAAAAACATGGCTAGCCAAGCGTGATGGCTTGCACCCTTGGTCCCAGCTGCTCAGAAGTTTGAGGTTAGCCTGGGCAACACAGTGAGATCCCTATCTCTTAATTAAAAAAAAAATTTAATAAAAAATTAGTTTAAAAAATTATACTCCAGAAAAGAAAAAAAAAATTGGGCTGCTAGAAAATTTAAAATTACATATGTGCATCACATCATATTTTTGTGGGCTAGCATTGCTCTAGGCAATGAGGACCCAGCAAAGCTTTCTTTTTTGTTGTTCTTTGATATGTATATATGGACATATATATGTATGTGATGTCACATAGATATTTTTTCTGATTATAAAAGAAATATCAGGGCATATTCTCCTCTACTATTTTTTATTCTAAGATATGGTTAATTGTTAATGTATATGACACATCATTGAGTCAATTCAGCCTTTTAGGCAAAAAATTACATTAAATGTACACATGAGTTGTAAGACATATTTCAATCTTAGAAATGTTCAAATGTGAAAAAAATAGGTCTGCCAACAAGAAAGTAAGTAATAAAATATTTTCTCATTATTAACTTAAAAACCATAACATTGGCCAGGCACAGTGGCTCATTTCCAGCATTTTGGAAGGCTGAGGCAAGAGGATTGCTTGAGCCCAGGAGTTGGAGACCAGCCTGGGCAACATAGCAAGACCTCATCTCTACAAAAGATCAACAAATTAGCCAGGCGTGGTGGTGTGTGCCTATAGTCCCAGCTATTCAGGAGGCTGAGGCAGAAGGATTGCCTGAGCCCAGGAGGTTGAAGTTGCAGTGAGCCATGACCATACTACTGTGCTCCATCCTGGGTGACAGAGTGAGACCCCAACTCAAAAAAAACCCCAAAAAACTAAAAACCAGCCACTATGCAGACAGACAGACCAACCATCCTCATCACTGGCCCCATGAGGTGTTTCTAATTTTTCGCCACGACACATAAGACTGCCGAGAACATCTCTGTGTGGAAATCCTTGGTCTCTGCCTGGTGGCTTACTCATAATAAATTCAAACAAGTGGGATGGCAAGGCCAAGAGTATGAACATTTTAAAATTATTTTAATGAATAGACTTCATTTTTTAGATCGATTTGAGGTTACATAAAAGCCCATTGGAAAATAGCGGGGGGGTGCCAAAAAAATGTATATACATTTTAAGTATGATGTTTGCTCCAAAAATGGCGTTAATCAAATGAATGCTAGCATTACCATGTGACAAGCAGGATCATCAAAGAAAATGGCAGAAGCTTGGGTGAGTGAACATCATACTACTCATTGCTACTGTGATGTAAAAGTAATACATAGATAACATCTCTTAAAATGTGTATACAGACTGGGCTTGGTGGCTCAGTCTGTAATCCCAGCACTTTGGGAAGCCAAGGTGAGTGGACTGCCTGAGCCTGCGGGGTTAACACTAGCCTGGGCAACTTGGCGAGACCTCATCTCTACAATATATCAAAAATTAGCAGGGCATGGTAGTGCACACCTGTAGTTTAGCTACTTGGAAGGATGAGGCAGAAGGATCCCTGGAGCCCAATGCTGGGGTAGCCAGGAGTGTGCCACTGCACTCCAGCCTGGGCGACAGAGACTCCAAGTCAAAAAAAAATGTGTATATATATATATGCCTCGTTTTTAGGTCTGGATGGTTGAAGGCAACCCCACATCCACTCTCTCCCCTGGCCTGTCAAGACCTTAAGCAGGAGAGTGATGGGAGGGAGGGCATCGAAGAAAGAAAGGTTACCCTCAGGCTGCGGGGGGGTGGGGGGGCTGGGAGGAGAGGCAGGAAACAGACAACCAGTGGGGGACATGGTAGGTCGGAAAGCAGCAAACCCCTCAATGTGAGGCTTGGAGGGAGGGAAGCCCATGGGGTCAGAACACAACTTGAGAGACTCAAACCTGCCGATTCCACCAGAAGTCAAAAGGCGACTTCAAGGTGACTCGGAGCTGCCACGTCTCTTTTGTGAGACCCAGTTTCCTCACCTGCAAAATGGAGCTGAAAATGGGCCGCCTACCCCTAAGGGTAGCTGTAAGGGGCAGATGCCTCTGACTTGCCGCCCCGTGGCAGGCTTCAGCGGGTGCTAGGTCGGCCATGGTGACGAGGAGGAGGGCGAGGGAAGGGCCCCGCAGCGAGTTGGCTGTTCACCTCAGGTAGGCTCTGCCTCACCCTGGACTATGCCCACTAGTGATGCGAAATACTCACAGTCCAGCTGCCGGCCCCGTATCCACTCCAAGCATGCTTCCAGGGACGTGAGGACAGGTGGGTCACTCCTCCAAAGTGGCTTCTTCATAGAGTGGTTTTTTGTTTAGAACATCCCCGTCCCAGGACGGATGCCACCACAGCCATGGCTATCACCTTTGCCATGGGCCCGTGGCCTGAGTGGGGGGCACACCTTTATAGAAATGCCCAGAGTCGAGGGCAGTCAGGTAGGCAGGAGGAGCATCCCGACAGCCATGGGGGGTGGAGTGTGTTGGGGATGGGGCCAGGCCTAACTCTCCCACATCCCCAGGGACCCCACTCCCTATTCCCCTCAGCTGAACCTATCCACAATCCCGCTCCTGAGTCCGTGACTAGACCCTTCATTCATTCACTCATTCATTTATTCACATAACCCCTCAAAAGGGGCAGAGAGGTGACTTGAAGGCCCCTTCTATGCAGAGGGGAGAACACAAATTCTGCATCTAATCTAGCTCTGTGACCTTGGGTAAGGCCCTTGCTCTTTCAGAGACTCAGCATTCTCATCTGCACAATGGGGGTAGTACTGCAATCAGATTTCTCACAAGGAATATTAAATAATAAACTAGTATGTGTCGCATGTCCAACTTGTGCTCAGAGAGGCATCAGTGACCCCACTTCCTGGTATTGGCTATTGTTATGGAGATGCCAGCACACCAGGAAAAGAATTCATAACTGAGGGAATAGGGATTTAAGGGGTTCACAAACCCCCTGGATATTGGAGTTAAATTCTGAGAATGTGTTGAGGCTTCTGCCCCAATAAACTAAGAATTCTGCCAGGTATGATGACTCACTTTGGGAGGCTGAGGCAGGAAGACCACTTAAGTCCAGGAGTTCAAGACCAGCCTGGGCAACATAGCGAGACCTTGTCTGTACTAAAAGTAAAAAAATAAAAAGTAAAAAGATTAGCCAGGTGTGTTGGCATGTGCCTACAGTGGCAGCTATTCAGAAGGCTTAGGAGGAAGGATTGCCTGAGCTCAGAAGGACGAGGCTGTGGTGTGCCGTGATCATGCCACTGCACTCCAGCCTGGGCAGCAGTGTAAAACGCCAACTCAAAAAAAAAGTTCTGCTCCCTGGGGTTAAACCTGGCACATCTGTCCCTGGGCAGCCCTGGGAGGGGGGCAAGCAGGGGATGGGAGTACAGGGGACTCTGGGACCCTCTTCTGCAGGGCTCTCTGCAGAGGGGCTCTAGCTGCCCAGCAGGGGGCACTCTTTCTGGCAACAGCAACCTTGTCCACGTCCTGCAGGATAACCCCAATATGGACAAAATACAAGTGGGGAAGCCCGACAGCATAAATCATGGCACAGTTTAAAAAGCAGCCATGGTGCTGGCTTCCATGTCCTGCCAGCCTGGGCCTGGAGGGTCCCCAAAGAGACGGTAGCATGGAGGAGAACCTTAAGATGTGCCATGCCAACGGGAGATTCCTCCAACCAGGGTTTGGGGAAAGCCGGAGCTTGGTGGACATGGCTTCTGTGCCCTCCCTCGGTTGGTGGCCAGCGGCGCTGCTAAATTTAGGCTGCTTCGCGCGCCCTCTGGTGGTCAGAACCGATATGACGTGGGCTTGATGGCCGGGCCTGTCTTGTGTTGTCCTGAAAAGTCCAGGCAACAGGTGATGCATGGATGAGCAGGTGAGGGGGGGCCAAAACCCAGCCCAAGGCCTCGCAATTCGTCAGAGGCAGGCTCCCATCAAACTTCCAAGCAACCTCTGCTTCCTCCTCCCAGTACTCATTGCATGTCCCTTGTCCTCACTGGACGGCAGGTTCTTGAGGACATGGGAGAGCTTATCCTTTCCCCTCTGCAGCTCATGGCAGGCACCAGCGATTGGCAGGTTTTGACAGCTGATCTGCCGAGAGCCCATCACATGCCAGACGCTCTTCTAGCATCTCATTCCAACCTCACGGTTGCCTGTAAAGGATGTTTGAGTGCCATTCCATTGTATGGAAAAGGAAACAGGCTTGAGATATTGAGTAATTTGTCCAAGTTATGCAGCTAGAAAGTGGCCCGGCCCAGGCAGGCTGGCTGCAGATATGGAGCCCGGGAAGGCACAGGAAAGCTGGCTGGAAATGCCCTGTCTCCAGGCTCTGAGGACGCTGGGGAAGGTTCAGCCTGAAGGTGTACACAGGTGTCTGGGGGATTCTTACTGCCTTGTAATAATTAGACAAACTCAGTTTTAGGACATTTTGAGCTGCTCTACCCAAGACTGGGTAATATATAAAGAACAGAAACTGGGCCAGGTGTGGTGGCTTACGCCTATAATCCCAGCACTTTGGGAGGCCGCGGTGAGAGGATTTCCTGAGCCCACGAGTTCAAGACCAGCCTGGGCAACTTGGCGAGACCTCATCACTACAATAAATTAAAAAAAAAAAATTAGCCAGGCATGGTGGTGCATACCTGTAGTTCCAGCTACTTGAAAGGCTGAGGCAGAAGGATCTCCTGAGCCCAGCAGATCAAGGCTGTGGTGGCTGTGAGTGTGCCACTGCACTCCAACCTGGGGGACAGAGTGAGACTCCAACAAAAAAAAGAACAGAAAGAACAGAAACTTACTTGTCACCATTCTGGAAGCTGGGAAATCTAAGACCAAGGTGCAGCATCCAGTGAGGGCTGCTCTTTGCTTCCAGGATGGAACCTTGAATGCCACGGCATCCTCCAGGGGCAAGGAACACTCCTTCCATCCAGCCCTTTTACAAGGCACTGATCTGCTGATGAGGCAGATCCCTTATAACCTAAACAGCACCCTCATTGTCGCATTGGGAGTTAATCTTCCAACACCTGAATTTGGGGGATACATTCAGACTGTGGCATTTGGGGAATTTCCCCTGCCTGTTACCACGTGGTAGGGTCCCATCACCCATACTTCCCCTCCTGAAGGTTCCCAGCCTGAGTTGGGGGTTACTGATGGTGGCTGACCGCTCAGAGGAGCAGACAGTGTCCTGGGTTCTAGTCCCAGTCCTGGGACTTGCCAGCTGGTGGCCATCGGTGTTCCTTTTCCTTTGGGAGCTTCAGTTTCACACCCTGGAACATGGATGGGTGACGGGGAGGTCAGAAAAGGCGGCCCTCAAGATGTCTTCCAGATGGGATGTGGCTCTTGCTTTCCATGAACCAGCCTGACAGGGGACAACAGAGGAAAGGACTGTGGAAATTGAAGGACACTGAGGCAGTCCTGTCATCAGGAGCTGCAAGCCCTGTCTGTCCTCCTGCTAACTACCTGGAAATCTGGAGCCTCAGCTTCCATGTCCATGTAAATAGGAATGATAACATGTCCCTGCAGGGTCGGGCAAGAGCCATGACCAAACCAGGCAGCGTTTGTGAACCTGCTCTGTGAACCTCAGTGTGCCCTGTACATACGAAGGTGGTTTTCTTGCACTGGTTTATTTTGAGTTGGGGTCTCACCCTGCCACCCAGGGTGGAGTACAGTGGCACAATCACGGCTTCCCACAGCCTCGATCTCTGGGTTCAGGCAGGCCTTCCGCTTCAGCCTCCTGAGTAGCTGGAACTATTGACAAATACCAAGTCCGGCTAATGTTTTTTCTTTTTTCTTTTTTTTTTTTTTTTGAGTTGGAGTCTCACTCTGCCGCCCATATAGGAGCACAGTGACAGGCTCCCAGCCACTGCGGCCTGACCTGCTGAGCTCAAGCGATCCTGCCACCTCAGCCTTCCAAGTAGCTAGAACCACAGGCGCATGGTCACCACACCCAGCGAATTTTTTGATTTATTGTAGAGACAAGGTCTCGCCAAGTTGCCCAAGCTGGTCTTGAACTCCTGAGCTCAGGCAATCCTCTTGCCTCTACCTCTCAAAGTGCTGGGAGTACAGGTGTGAGCCACCATGCCCAGCTGATTTTTTTTTTTTTTTTTTTTGGTATTGAGATGGGCCCAGGCTGGTCTTGAATTCCTGTGTTCAAGTGATCCTCCCACCCTGGCCTCCCAAAGTGCTGGGATTACAGGTGTGAGCCACCCCGCCCAGCCTCGCATTTATGAACTGTAAAGGATTTCTCTCTTCCACACAATAGACATCCATCAGGGGCATCTGAACAGGCCATGTGGGGTTGGAAGAGCAGGGCTGTGATGACCGAGTTGCCCATTCTCCTCTCTCCCCAGTTACATTCGTTGTTACTACTTTGCGGTGAAGACCCTCATCACGATTGGCGGGCTGCCTGACCCCAGGACGCTCTTTGAAATCATCTTCCAGCTGCTGAACTACTTCACGGGCGTCTTCGCTTTCTCTGTGATGATTGGACAGGTCGCTGGGGCAGCAGCCTGGCTTCCCAGCCACTTGACCACAAGGCCCCCTCCCACTGCCGCCGGCCATGTCACCGTCCATGCTGGTTCCTTCTGGACTATGTCCAGGAAAGAGCACTGGACCAAGAGTCAGGAGCATGTGGGGCCCTGCAGGGGGAGAGGGTGGTGGAGATCTAGGTCCCATCCCCTCTCTGAGACCCTTCCCATTTGGCATGTCATTTTCTTTGGGATATCGAGGCTGACTGGTTTCCTGCAGAGGCCGAGGATTTGGACTGTTCTCTTTGAGAGAAACCCAGGTGTTTCTGGCTTGCTGGGGCAACATCTTCTATTCCAGCCTGAGGGGACAGTCAGGGGTCCTCAGAGTCACCTTCAAAGGGCCCTACACTGAGGCACTGGACCCTGTGTGCCTGTTTCCTCCAGCATGGCTAGGCGGCTGCTGCCACCTAGGGGCCCCATGGTACCAGAATCAGCCCAGCCCAGCAAGGCATTCCCTCCTCGTGTGGTCCCAGGGACCTGAGGCTACCCAAGGGGCCAGCAGCCTGGCCTCCCTCTGCCCATGTCCACGCTGAGGCAGAACGTCCCCGCCAGCAGAGCCTCCTCTGTGGGTGGACATCTGTCCTCTCTCTCCAGCCTCTATCACAAGCACATGCCCTGCTCTGTGTAAAGTGACCTCTCCCAGCCACTGCCTTACTAGACTCTGGTGTGGCCATGTGCTCATTGAGTTATGGCCCTGAGCATGTCTCCTGGCTTTGGCCCCCTTCCTTACCTTGGGGAGGCGAATTTCCTCTTTTTTTCCTCTATCTCTAATTTACTTTTTAAATAAACTATATTTTCCCATCTAAAAAAAAAAAAGTGACCTCTCCCAACCCGCTGACCAGCCGCCCTCTGACCTGGCGGCTTCCTTGACCTCCCCAACCATCTCCCGCAGATGCGAGACGTGGTGGGGGCCGCCACCGCGGGACAGACCTACTATCGCAGCTGCATGGACAGCACGGTGAAGTACATGAACTTCTACAAGATCCCCAAGTCCGTGCAGAACCGCGTCAAGACCTGGTACGACTACACTTGGCAGTCGCAAGGCATGCTGGGTAAGACTGGCCACACCCTGGCGGCCACTGGTTCCCACGGCCAGCCCTTGTTGCCCGCTGCCCTGCTTCTGGGCCCCTCCTTCGTGTCTCTGGGGCCCCAATGTTTACACGGGAGGGGACTGGAGAAGCCTGTGAGGTGCCTCAGGCCGGGCCATCAAGAGATGCCTGGAGACTTGGGGGGCTTGCCATTTGGGTGTCCACCCCTCTCACTTCACCCACCCTGAAATGTATCCCCATCAGGCTGGGTGCAGTGGCTCACGCTTGTAATCTCAGCACTCTGGGCGGCCGAGGCGGGAGGATGGCGTGAGCCCAGGAGTTTGAGACCAGCCTAGGTAACATAGGGAGACCCCATCTCTACAAAAATAAAAATAAAACCATTAGTTAGAGGTGGTGGCACCCGCCTGTAGTCCCAGCTACTCGGGAGACTGAGGCGGGAGGATCGCCTGAGCCCAGGAGGTCGGGCTGAGGTCAGCGGTGATTATGCCACTGCACTCCCACCTGGGTGAGAGAGCGAGATCATGACTCAAAAAAAAAAAAAAAAGCATCCTCATTGAAGATCAAAGTACAGTTGAGGTCAGGAAAAAAGACTCCCTCCCTTCCTCCTTCTCACTTCTCTCTGTCCTTTGTTTCTCTCATGGGCACTGCAGGTGCCATGGTGAGTCCAGCAGACTATCTCTCAGGGGTCTTACAGAGACCCCTGCTCTCCTGGACCCGCACAGCCTGAACGAGGTCCTGACTCCACCGTCCCCGAGCTGTGTGGCTGGGGCAAGCCATGCCCTTTCCCGCCTATAAAGGAGGATTGTAGTTTCAGGCACCTCTTGGGTTGCTAGGAGGATTTAGCAAAAACACTGTAAAAAAAGTCCCTGGAGTAAGTGCTTGAAAGACTTTAGTTCTTGATAAAGTTGTTCTTATTGTGTGAGTGAGGAAAACAGATGGCCAACGATTGCAGTCAAAGGTGTGACAGGCTAGGCGTGGAGGTGCATGCCTGTAATCCCAACATTTTGGAAGACCAAGGAGGGCGGTTCGCTGGAACCCCCGAGCTCAAGACCAGTCTGGGCAACATAGTGAGACCTTGTCTCTGCAAGAAAGTAAAAAAATGAATCAGGTGCAGTGACATACACCCAGCTTCATGGCAGGCCGAGACAGGAGGATCTCTTGAGCCCAGGAAGTTGAGGTCCAGGGGTCAGATTCCGTCACTGCCAGACTGAGCCAGATTCTGCCACCGTCCTCCGACAGTGCGACCCCTGACTCAAAAAAAAAAAAAAAAAAAATGCCATAAGCGCTACAGTACAGGACCTAACACGCTAGCTGGGTGGGAGATGTTGAAGGAAGGCATCCCGGAGGAGGTGACATTAGCGCTGGGGTCCGAAGAGCGAGCAGGAGTTGGCCAGGGAAGTGCGGCGTGTGGGGAGCCGAGGCGGCTGTTACTGGCCAAGGCCCGGGGGTGAGAGCGGGCGCTGTCGGGACCCAGAGGGCTTCCGTGTGGCGGCGCCTGGCGTGCCCGGGGGAGCCAGCGCGGGGGGACTGGGCCCGCCTCTGACCCTCCCGGGTGGCGTCCACAGACGAGTCGGAGCTGATGGTGCAGCTTCCGGACAAGATGCGGCTGGACCTCGCCATCGACGTGAACTACAGCATCGTGAGCAAAGTGGCGCTCTTCCAGGTAGGGCCCGGGCC